GAGACGGAGTTTCGCTCTTGTTACCCAGGCTGGAGTGCAATAGCGCCATCTCGGCTCACCGCAACCTCCGCCTCCTGGGTTCAGGCAATTCTCCTGCCCCAGCCTCCTGAGTCACTGGGATTACAGGCACGCGCCACCATGCCCAGCTAATTTTATGTATTTTTTAGTAGAGACGGGGTTTCACCATGTTGACCAGGATGGTCTCGATCTCTTGACCTCATGATCCACCCGCCTCGGCCTCCCACAGTGCTGGGATTACAGGCTTGAGCCACCGCGCCAGGCCCTGTAATGCCCTTCTTTGTCCTTTTTTACTATTGTTGGTTTAAAGCTTGTTTTATCTGTTTTACAAAGTGTAGCCCCTGCTCTTTTTTGTGTTTTGTTTGTATGATAGATCTTTCTTCAACCCTTTACTTTGAACCTATTGGTGTTGTTACATGTGAGATGGGTCTCTTAAAGACAGAAGACAGATGGGTTTTGTTTTTTTTAATCCAACTTGCCACTCTGTGCCTTTTCAGTGGTGTGTTTAAAACATTTATATTCAAGGTTAATATTGACATGTGAGCTTTTCACCCTATCGTGAAACTGTTTGCTGGTTGCTTTGTACTTTCTATTGTGCGGTTGTTTTATAGGGTCTGTGAGCTATGTACTTGTGTGTTTTTATGATAGCAAGTATCATTCTTTCATTTCCATGTTTAGAGCTCCCATAGGTATCTCTTGTAAGACTGGTCTAGTGGTAATGAATTTTCTTGGCATTTGCTTCTCTGGAAAAATGTTTTTATTTCTACTTCACTCAGGAAGCTTAGCTTGGCAGGATATGAATCTCTTCATTATAATTTATTTTATTTAAGAATTCTGAAAATAGACCCTCTAATCTCTTCTGGCTTGTAAGGCTTCTGCAGAGAAGTCTGCTGTTATCCTGATGGGGCTCCCTTTGTATGTGATCTGGCCTTTTTCTCTAGTACCTTTAGGATTTTTTCTTTGTCAGTGACCTTGGACAGTCTGGTAAGTATATGCCTTGGTAATGTTCATTTTTAATAGTATCTTGCAGGTGCTCTCTGGCTTTATTGTAGCTAGATGTCTACCTTTCTAACAAGATTGAAGAAATTTTCTTGAATTATTCTATCAAATATGTTTTCCAGGTGGTTCTCTTTTTTCTCCTTCTCTGAAGGGAATGCCAGTAATTCATAGGGTTGGTCACTACATAATCTCATATTTCTTCACTTTTTAAAATTGTTTTTCCTTTATTTTTGTCTGACAGGATTAGCTCATAAGACCAGTCTGCAAGCTCTGAAATTATGTTTTCTACTTGGTCTAGTCTATTGATAAAGCTTTCAATTGTATTTTGAAATTCCTTAAGTGAGTTTTTTTAATTTCAGAAGTTCTGATTGATTTCTTATTAAGATGTTTGTCTCTTCCCTCATTCCCTGGATTGATTTAGAGGTTTCTTTTTGTTGATTTCAACCTTGAATCTCATTGAGCTTCCTTGCAACCGATGCTTTGAATTCTTTATTATCATTTCTGAGTTTTCATTTTGGTAGAAAGCATTGCCAGAGAGCTAGTGTGGTCTTTTGGTGGTGTCACTACATTCAGATTTCTCATGGTGCCAGAATTCTTGCACTGGTCCTTCTCGTCTGGAGATACTAGCATTTTTTCTTTTTCTTTCCTTCCCTATGATATTATTATTATTGTTGTTGTTTGTTTGTTTGTTTGTTCTCTTCTTTCTCTTTTCCTCCCCCCTAGGGGGGTGTGACTGTAGAGCGTGCTAGGTAGGGTCTTTTGGCTTTGCTTCTGTAGCCCTATGCACTTCTGTCAGCAGGTTTTATATATACCTACAAGCCAGTAGATGGTGCCACGGGTAAGAGCTGGCTGTGGCCAGTGCTGCCGGCTGTATACTTGATCCTTGTCTATTAGGAGGAACTCTGTTGCCTCAGGCAATAGGCTGATTCCCGGAGTACACATTAATCTAAGCTCCCTCCTCAGCCCTAGGGGTAGAAGGGTTGTGGGGACAAGATGGGTGGAGCCAGATTAGGAAGGTCCCCCAAAGTTATCCTGCTTTCAGTCCAGATTTGGAAAAATGCCTGCAACTTTTTCCTATGTCTTTCCCTCACAATGTCTCCAAGTCTCTCCTCAAATTAGCCCCAGGACTTGGGAGAAACAGTGCTCTTCCTCTGCCTGGGTTGCTTGGATCCCCAGTGGAAAGGTAAGACAGAGGGACACTGGCTGCCTGTCTCACATACTGAGGCTTCACTCACTTTTATCAGTTGAATGCTGTCATGTGGGCTGTTTGCCTGCATTGTCCTCCCCAGGATCTGGGGTGTCCTTCATAATTCCAGGGAATCGCCATTTTCTTTCTTGAATTAAAGCTCACAGAGTTGATCTTTATGTACTTGCTTGCTGTTTCCAAATGGTTGAGGCATGCTAAAAGCCTGTAATCTGCCGTCTTGGAAAAAACATTCTTACATTCTTAAGAGAAATGGCACTCGATATTGATATATGGTATTTCTACGTTGCTGAATTCACTTTGAAAATATATGTACATTTTTAAATCTACATTTATATGTGAGACTGGTATAAAGTTATCTTTTCTTCTACTGTATTTGTGCAATTTTGGAATCAGTTATATAAGTCTACTAAATGAATTGGGAATTTTTCTTTTTAACTATTATCCAAAAAAGGTTATAAAAGACATGAATTATTGCTTTCTTACAGATTTAGTAAATACTTCATCATGTCCTTTTGTAGAGAGGCAGTGAGAAATATTTTTACTGTAAATGTAATTTGTGTATTTTTCACCTGTGAGGAGGAGGTTGCAGTGAGCCAAGATTGTGCCACTGTGCTCCAGCCTGGGTGACACAGCAAGACTCTGTCTTAAAAAAAAAAGAAAGAAAGAAAATCAACTTAAAATGAACTCCTTGAATATTTCTGAGTGTATTTTTTTTATATCTTGAACTAACTTTTCTTTTCTAGGAAGAACTGGAACAATGGTTTGTGCCTGTCTTATTGCTTCTGAAATATTTTTAACTGCAGAGGTATGAAAGATGTTACTACAAACTTTGTCTTATGATGATTGAGTTTGCTAGTTCTGAAATATCACTGGTAGCAATTTTAGTTATGGTGCTGAGTGAAATTGTAATTGGAAAAGCAGTTTTTAGAAAGTGTGTTTTTGATACTTTCTTGTTTAACATGCACTAGTTAGTAGATGACTTAAGAATCTCTTTGCCAGGACTGGAGTGAAGTCACTGAGGTGCAAAATTTAATGGAATGCTAACAATTCCAATAATTAAAATAAATAATTTTAGTGTAGTATTTTAACAGTAAAAATTAATGCACAAAATCTATGATATATACAATATCAACATTTTAAATAAAGACAAGACCTGATGGGGCTGGATTAAGGTGAGGGGAGTAAAGCTATATTACACAGATGACAAAAAACATTCAGTAACCAAGATGCTTCTCTCACCTCACCTGACCCTGCTTTTACTCCTACTGGTATCACACGTCTTCCTTCCTCCTGAGAATAATATCAAGCTTAATTAGATAAATTCTCCAAAGAGCATTGACCATCCTCACAACTCTTAGATAGATAAAAGGCAACTGAAAACAAAGCCTCTCCTCAATGTAAATATCTTTGCTTAGTCAATACATGTGGAGTCTGACATCTAGAAATTTCTGATAAGACAAGGTGGGTTGTTTCTACTTAAAGCAGAGTTCTCAGTCATTTTTCTTTGTGCCATTTTCTTGCTGAAACACTACCATTTCCAGCAGCTCTGCTTAAGTTGTTTGGCCTACAGTCTAGGGAGGAAGTGGTGGTTATGCCCAATGCCCAGCACTCCAATTCCACCACCTTTGGTTTTTCTAATTTAAGACAACACATTTTGAAAATGGATGGTGTTTTCAAGCTATGGATCATGATTTATCAGCGAGTTGTAAAATAAAGTTACTCACATCTTTTAAAAATAAAATGGAGTAAAGCAGAATAGAAAATATCAAAAAGTTTAAGTATTGGGTGTGTGTGTGTGTGTGTGTGTGTGTGTGTGTGCCTGCGTGTATCTCCTAGGTTATTAATGTGATTTGCAGCTTAAAAAACAAAAGGTTCGAAAGTCATGGACAGTCATTGATCCAGAGCCCTAGACTTGTATTCCAGGCCTGGGCTGCCGCTAACTGGCTGCAGCATCTCATGGCAGATTGCTTGGTTTTCTTTTGGTCTTAGCGTTCTCATTTGTAATATGGAAAGAAGTGTTGGACCATATGATTTCTAAGGTCTTTCCAGCTCTAAAATTTTATGAATTTACGAATCCTTGAATGAGGGAAGTCCTTGATGTAGCTTTGTTAATTTTGTTATTTTGGGTAGCCTCTGCCCAAAGATCACTGTGCCAGGCACCGTGGCTCATGCCTGTAATCCCAGCACTTTGGGAGGCTGAGGCAGGCGGATCTCTTGAGGTCAGGAGTTCAAAAGCAGCCTGGCCAACATGGCAAAACCCCTATCTCTACTAAAAATATAAAAAATTAGCTGGGCGTGGTGGTACACGCTTCTAGTCCCAGCTACTCAGGAGGCTGAGGCAGTAGAATCGCTTGAACCCAGGAGGTAGAGGTTGCAGTGAGCTGAGATCCTGCCACTGCACTCCAGCCTGGGTGACAGAGCAAGACTCCACCCCAAAAAAAAAAAAAATCACTGACTTTAGGAAAGAAGGTGGCCATAGAAACACTAAGGGTACCTAATACAGGAAAGGAAAGAGTGCAGATGAACCATAGTTGCATTATACCCTTTTTTGTAGGAAAGCCTGTATTACTTTGGAGAAAGGCGAACAGATAAAACCAACAGCACTAAATTTCAGGGAGTAGAAACGCCTTCTCAGGTGAGTTTTCTTTTTAAAAGGGGGAGTTTTTCTGGGGGAGTGGGTTAAGATTGCCACCTGTTATCTGGTTTTATTTTAGACTCTCTTCTTTTGGTGATCAGGCAGCAGCAGTCGGGCACCCTGCACGGCCTTGGCCCCTCCCTGAGGCTGGGGGTCATGCTTCAGGAGCTGCCCTCGTGTTGGGGGCTCTGGCTTCTCCTCAGAGCACCCTGCTTTCTATTCCATACTGGTTATTACTTATGGAGCTCAGGAATTGATTATTCTCCCAAAGCAGGAAGGTCCAGTACCTAAGGCTCCAGGACCCTGAAGTTTATCTAAAATCACCAGCCTTTGATTTCAATGTAAAAAAGATGCAAGTCTTTCACAAACCCTTACTAGGCCAATTCAACCTTTGGAGAATATCACAAAGATTGTTTCTGGATAACTCCGCTTTGTATGCGTGTGTGTGTGTGTGTGTGTGTGTGTCTTTTCTGTGTGTTTTGGGGGAGGTGTATTTTAAAAGAGAAAGTAAAGGGGAAATCAACTTTCCAAAAACCCTTTTACATACCAGACAGTATTGCACTTTTACATATCTCATTTAATACCCATAACACCTATATAAAATATATGCTGTTACTTCATTTTTTTCTTTTAAAAACATTTTATTATGGAAAATTTTAATGATATACAGAAGTCCAGAGAATCATACAATGTATCTCTATATAGCCATGACATTGCGGCAACAGTCATTTCAGCCTGCAGCCAGCAACGTTTCATCCATTCTTTTCCCACTCTGCTCACACCCCCAACCCCACTCTCCACTCTTGCTTTCCCTAAACCTGGGTTATTTTAAAGGAAATTTCAGTCGTCAGATCATTTTATCCCACAAGTATTTTAGTAAGACATTTAAGTACTCTTAACCACCAAAAACACTTAATACTTTTTAATCATATCTAAAAATATTACACCTTAAAAATCCTTAATATCAAATTTGTAGTCCATGTTTGTTTCCAAAACTGTCTTAAAATCTTTGAAAATTTAGTTTGTTTCAATCAGAAAATTCAAACAAGGTCCACACATTTCACTTGGTTTCTGTGTCTCCTACGTCTCTTTTAAGAATCTAAGTTCATATATTTCTCACCATTTTTTATTACTTGTACTTTGATTATTGCAGAAACCAGGATGTTCATTCTATAGCATTTATAACATTCTAGACTTTGCTGAACTATTCTAGGAGTTACACATTCACTATCTTATCTAATATTCTCAGTAACTTTATGAGTAGGCACTACTATGATGCTCATCTTATACATTAGAAAACTGAGGTCCACAGAAAGTAACTTTTGGACTAAGGATTGAAATCTAGATGTCAGACTCTGAAGCCCATGCTATGCACAGCTTCTCATTTTTATTGTCTTTCTATATTGCCCCTCAAACTGAAGTGAGACTGGGTTGGGAATTCTTAAACAGATTTGGATATGGCTGTAAATGAGTTTTTCTTTAAGTGGTAGGAGCTGAGTAAGTACTCTTGGCCCTGTTAGAACACTGTAACTACTGATGGTCAGCCTTTAGTTTTGGCCAAAAGAACTCAGCCTTATCCACTGATACTTTTTTCCCACACCTAAGCCAAAAACAAAACAAAACAAAGATAGTCATAGATCCAAGCTAAAAGTAATAGGTGAATTTACTGAAGTGCAGCCCTAATCATGCCATTTCCGTGCTCAAAATCCATACTATGTCCCTGCTGCCAACAGCAATAAACTGAATGTTTCAACCTGGCACTCAAGAGCCACAGTTTGACTTTTCTGCTATGTGCATGCACACATCCCACGCTTGAACGCATTTCGACTGTGTGCTGTTTCCCAGCCTGTGGACACTTGATACTCTCATGCCATTGCTCATGCCCCTTTTCCTGGAGTCTCCTTCCCCTCTCAGCCTGAAGTAGTCTCTTGTTTTTTCAGTTCTTAAAGCCTTTTGTGTTTCTCTTCAGGACTACGTCACTGCATTATTCTCTAGCTATTTGAAGTGGTGACTTCTGTATCCCCTTTAAAGGCAAGGCCCATGGATTACCCATCTTTCCCCACTTTTCTCACAGTATCTTCTTTGTTTTTAGTGAGTGCCCCCTATGGGTTGGTTGTATTAATTTCTACTATAAGTTCATTTTGTTTTAAGTTATAGGGGAAGGAAGCATGGGAGCAAAAGAAATTTAGGGAAAGGTTGAGAATCTGGTGGCAGGAGCCAAGGGGATCCTAGATGGAGCGCCTTCAACAGCTCTACCCATGCATCTCCCCGTCCCCAGTTCTTTTACACTTGTGCATAGGTTCCCTAACTTTAGTCCAGAACTAGCACACCAAAGGCTGCAACTGAATCTCTTCCGATTCACTGAGAAAGTAACACAGGGACCCAGCTGCAGGTTTGAGAGCTGTGTTGGCAAGACGTCAGGAGAGAGTACCCTCTGTATCTGGCGGGGATTCTCAGACACCGTGACGTTCCGACCCTGCACTGTGGGCCATTCTGCTGACTACGTCTACTCCTAAGTTAAGAACTTTCATGAGCCTTCCTCATGGCTGGCCCTTTCTAAAGGAAAGTATGGCAGTTAGTTACTTTAGTGAACATTTCCCAGTGGATAAGGAACAGTCTGTGAACCTGAGTCCTTTTTTTTTTTGATACAGAGTCTCACTTTGTCACCCAGACTGGAGTTTGTCTTGGTGGAGGTGTCCCCGTATCATATCATTTTCTCACCTTCTTTCAGTGGTGCAATCTCAGCTCACTGCAACCTCAACCTCTTGGGTTCAAGCGATTCTCCTGCCTCAGCTTCCTGAGTAGCTGGGATTACAGGTGCCCACCACCACGCATGGCTAATTTTTATTTTTAGTAGAGACAGGGTCACCCTGTTGGTCAGGCTGGTCTCAAACTCCTGACCTCAAGTGATCCACCCACCTTGGCCTCCCAAAGTGCTGGGATTACAGGCATGAGCCACCACACCCGGCAGACTTTTGAATTTTGAACCAGTTGATTCAGTACCAAAGTTCTTCAACAACTTTGAGAAAAATTCAAGGGGAGCCATTGTGAACAGCTTACCCCAGGGAAAGGACAAAGCTGAGAGAATTCCAGGGCTTCCTCGTGAAAGCAGAGCTTGGGAAATGGAAAGTGAAGAAATTCTAGCTGTCAGAAATGAGAAGAATGACATGAAATCTGCTGCTGAGGTATGGAGGTATTCCTCTTGAGTTTTCACATATACCATTCTCTCATGCCAGGAAACTGCTCTTCACCAAACCACGAACCTTCCTCTAACTCAGTCACAACTAAGCTTCTATCTGCGCACTGATGATGATGTAACTGTTTTGTTGTTGGTTCTGATTAGTTGCCCTCTCAACTATAAGCAGCCTGTAAACTAGACCTGGCTTCACCCTTGTTACTTCCCTATAGCATTTAATTCAGTATTTTTCCTCCAAGGTATATAGTTGTGAGGCAATATCCCTAAAAGTGTCTAGTGATATAATGGCATCAGTAAACATTTCCTTAATTACTTACTCCCCTTAATAAGCTTTATGCAAAAAAAAAAAAAAAAAAGGAATGTTGACTTTAGACTTTTCACCTCCACTTAAAGTGAGATGTCTCTTGCTTTTCAGAATAGATATGTTGGATATTTTGCACAAGTGAAACACCACTACAACTGGAATCTCCCTCCAGTAAGGATACTCTTTATAAAAAGATTCATTATTTATTCGATCCATGGTAAGTGCTTTATGTATAATTGAAGAATTGGGCAGGAGGGCCAATGTTCCCGCCCTGGGAGGGTTTTGCTCATAGCTATATATACAGATGATCCTAGCTCATACCTGTCTTTGAAGTCTTGCTCTGTCGACCAGGCTGGAGTGCCAGTGGTGCGATCTCGGCTCACTGCAGCCTCTGCCTCGGCCTCCTGGGTAGCTGGGATTACAGGCACACGTCACCCTGACCGACTAATTTTTGTATTTTTAGTACAGACGGGGTTTCACCATGTTGGCCAGGCTGGTCTCGAACTCCTGACCTCAGCTAATCTGCCCACCTCGGCCTCCCAAAGTGCTAGGATTACAGGTGTGAGCCACCACACCTGGCTATACCTGTCTTTTTATGTATCCTCACGCATGAACTTTTTCTTACGTATGCTCCTCCTCCTGCAATTGCCCATTGATTGCGAGCCCTTAGATGCTCTTTACTTTTTCTTTTCCATCACCAATTTGGGGGGACTTCATCCCCTTCCCATCTCTCCTGTTCTCATTGCTCCTGTGGTCTCACCGTCGGGTGGACTTTTCAGGGCAGAGTGAGCCTCTGAGGAGGGAGGAGGGGGACCCATGTGGCCTCAAGACTTATTTCTCATAACCACCTCTAGTTCAGAGTTTGTCTTGGCGGAGGTGTCTCCATATCATATCATTTTCTCACCTTTTTTCAGAGGCATATTTTTTTCTCATCACCCTGGGCTCTTCCTTTCCCCTCTGTCCTCCATCTGTAACCCTCTCACTCCCAGCTTTCACTCAGGGAAGGTGGGAAAGCAGGATCAGTCTGTGTGGAGGGGATGGGGCCTCACCACTCCCACTGCCAGAGAGGTAGCAGGGAGGTGATGCTTCTGAACCCCTAAAGCAAACCTCATACCGCCAGCTTGTGGTCACCTGACGTGGCGCAAGTGTTGGGTGTTATGGATGCCATGGTGCCAGGATACTGGTGTCCACACAGACATTTTTAGTCTTCTGAGTTTAGTTCCACATTTCTAGCCTTCTGAGTTTAGTTCTACATTTCACTGATTTCTGGTAGACATCAATAGAAATTCTGCACCTGGAATGGGAAAGAGGGAACTGAGACAAGAAACTGTGATTTCTAATGACAAATAAATATCATGGTGTCTGTGAAAACAAAATTAAATGAAAAGAAAAAAGCAGTATATGAGATGAGCAATCAAGAATAATTAACACACTTATTTATTAAAATGTTTGTTTTAATTCTCTACCTTTAGTTTTGTGCATATTTAAATTAAAATTAATATAGAGTTGAGAGGAAAGCAATAAAAAATTAATTGGCTGAGAAACCAAGTCTTTGAGGAAATGCTAAAGGAATTGGGTCATTTCAGTTGAAAAAAAAGGGGCAGAAGAGCCTTTGTCTGTAAATAGATACTGAACGCCATGGGAATTTTTGGATGTAACTATCCTATATTTTTATAGAGATTGCATCAGAAACTGGCCTTAAAGTAGGGCCAAAGTAGTTTAGACTACAGTATTTATTATTAAGATTCATTATGATTAGAAGTCTGAAGAAAGCAACACATTAGCAAGAAAGGTTGCAAATCACCTTTTCTAAAATTTTTTTTTTTTTTTGAGACACTGTCTCACTCTCTTGCCCAGGCTGGAGTGCAGTGGTGTGATCTCAGCTCACTGCAACCTCTGCCTCCCAGGTTCAAGCAATTCTCCTGTCTCAGCCTCCTCCTGAGTAGCTGGAATAACAGGTATGTGCCAGCATGCCCAGCTATTTTTTGTATTTTTAGTAGAGATGGGGTTTTACCATGTTGGCCAGGCTGGTCTCAAACTCCTGACCTCAAGTAATCTACCCACCTCTGCCTCCCAAAGTGCTGGGATTAGAGGCGTGAGCCACCATGTCTGGTCCACCTTCCCTAAATATTTTTTTCTGGAAAGATGAAGTGATGGGATTCTAAGTCTTTGAAGCTGATTGTATGTGTGTGTGTGTGTGTTGTTGTTGTTGTTGTTTTTTTTTCATTTTTTTTAATCCCCTGTCTTATAAAATCTGCTTTAGGAGACAGAACTGGGCTTGAAGACTTGTCTTTCAAAGACAAAATCCATGCAAGACCAAATAAGTAGCTGCTGATACATTGTTAACTTGGATAATTTTTTCTCTTTTTAATCCATGATGTTAATTGATGAGACATTTTGATCTTTGTGCTAACCAACCTAACTTTTAAATTTTATTTAGGTATTGGATCAGGCGATGAAAATGATCTAAAACTCCAAATAGTAATGGAGAAAAGGGTTGTCTTTTCCTGTACTTCTTTAAAAAATTGTGTGGTAAGAGAAAACATGTGAATTGAAAAAGTCTGATGTTTGTTTTAAGGCTGAATGTCAAACCAGCAATGTTCACCTCCCTAAACTATCACTCACCGTAAAGAGATTCCATAATGCTTTCTGGTTACTCTCCAGGCTGGTGTCACTGGATTTGGATGCAGACCAGAGATAAATTAACCTGTTTGTTCAAAACAGTTTTTTCAGGCTACTTTCCAGAATTTATTTCTGTTCAGCGTTGCTTTGTCTTTCACTTTTCCACAAACGCTGAGCATGTTCCCAGGAATGTATTAAAGATTTTAATTTACATATGTGGTCGTTTTTAGCCATATTCTTTTCTTCTTGGTCATTTTATCTTTTATTATAGAGCAGTGATTCTAAAATTTTAGTGTACATGAAAACCACCGAGGAACTTGTAAAGGTTTACATTCCTAGTTTGTCCCCCCAATATATGATTTGGGAGATCTGGAATGGGGCCCAGGAATCGATAGACTTAGCAATGTCCCAAGTGATTCTAAGTCAGAGGTTCTGTGGGATAACCCTATGAGAAACAGTGCAAGAGTGGAGGAACTGGGGAGGAATCTCTTTATTCACAGCACAAGGACCTTGTAGTCAAAATTTTGCTGCAAGGAAGAAATGCCTAAAACTATAAACCTTTTATGAAACAGTAAGAAAGCTTCCTTCGTGGGTCTAATAACCATAAACTTAGAATTCCTACTCAGGCCTTTGTCTCAAATTCTCCTATTACTAATCCTATTCCTCCCCTCTCTGCATCCCCCCACCCCTTTTTTTGGCCTCTCCCAACTGAGAGCATTCACCTAGGCCTGACCCTTGGCTTTCTGTTCTTAGCAAATGCTTTATTCTTGGTTAAGGAATGACCCATCCCCTTTAGTTAAACTATTATTTATTAATTTATATAACAGATATTTATGAGCACCCACTGAGTTGTAGATGCAGGAGCTACAACATGAACAGTCTCCACTCCAACTGAAATGCATTAGCCAGTCTGAATTATCAATGAGCTTTCTCTCTGCTTCTGCAAATGGCACCAGCTTTCTCCCACTTAGGCTTTGGGCTTTGATTCTCTTTGCCTCAGTCCCCTAAATCCAGTTAGTTATCAATCCCTGTTGATTATGCCTTTGAAATTTCTCTGTGCTCTCCTGCCTTTCTGTTCTCACTGCCACTAACTGTCCAGAACCTCATTTGCTCATGCCTAGATTTCTACAATGGTTATCTTACCTTTTCTTTCTCCTTATGTAATGGAATGTATAGAATCCTGAAATATGCATCCTGAAATATGCCTTTCATTGTGAAAAGTTATAGGTAGAGCAGAAGACACACTGTTAACCAGTTAACACCTTTGGCTCAACATCCTTATCTGTAAAATAAATATCACGTCTCAAGTGTTGTGAGAATTAAATAATATATACATATATATATAAAGTTTCTTTGTAAACTATAAATCACTAAATAAGTGTTACATGTGATAATTATCAGGCCTCTTTGTCGCATAGGAAATACCCCGCCATATTCTTCAGCAACCCCCCGCGTATTGCCTTGGCTCTTGAGCTCTTAAGATATCATAGCCCTAACGTAATACCTGAGCTTACAGACTTCACTCCAAATAAACTGGGTCATCCCCTTTGGCTCTTGGAACACAACTCTAATTTCGTTCGTTAGTTAGTTGGTTCTTTCTTTCTTTCCTTCCTTTCTTTCTTTCCCTTTTTTTTGCCTTGGGTCAGGGTCTCATTCTGTCACCCAGGCTGTAGCTCAGCGGCGTGGTCATGGCTCACCACAGCCTCCACCTCCCGAGCTCAAGCAATCCCCCAGTTTGTTTATTGTTTGTAGAGACTGGGTCTTGCTGTATTACCTAGGCTGGTCTCAAACCACCTTTCCACCTCAGCCTCACAACGTGCTGGGATTATAGGCATGAACCACATGGCCTGACCTTTTTTGTTGTTGTTTTTCTAATTTCTTTTTTTTTTTTTTTTTTGAGGTTGAGTTTGGCTCTCATGGCCCAGGCTGGAGTGGAATGGTGAGATCTTGGCTCACTGCAACCTCTGCCTCCCAGGTTCAAGCGATTCTCTTGCCTCAGCCTCCCGAGTAGCTGGGATTACAGGCGTGCACCACCACACCTGGCTAATTTTGTATTTTTAGTAAAAAAGGGATTTCTCCATGTTGGTCAGGCTGGTCTTGAACTCCTGACCTCAGGTGATCCGCTCACCTTGGCCTCCCAAAGTGCTGGGATTACAGGCATGAGCCACTGCACCCGCCTATTTTTCTAATTTCTACTTTGTGTTATTGCTGGTCTTTTTCCCTCTGAATGGGCTAGATTCTATTTTCAGAGCTTTTGTTCCTTTATCTAAACTGTTTCATGCCCAATTGAGTTTCTACCTCCTCAATGAAATTTTCGCATTCTGCACCTCCTTTTAACCAGCCCCCAATAGTGCATAAGAACACACCCATCCTTCATCATACAGGTTGACTTATATACCATTCTACTATTGTTTCTTATATGTACAGCTTCCTTAAGGAACTAACTGAGTCTGTACCTCCTTTTGTGTTTCTCACAGGGCCTAGCATAGACTTTTCTTATTGTAGGTGCCATTATTTATATGAGAGTAAGCCAAAGAAATAGTATAGCTTCAAAGTAATTCATTACAAAACTTGACCTATCTTTGGTCACTCCATCCAGCAGCCTGCAGTGGTCAAGTCCAAAGATCCCATTGACAAACACAAGAGTTCTGATAAAACATCAAGTGTTATGGACTCCCGTTGTTATTTTTTAAATTTAGAAAATAAAAAACCATTAAGCATTACTTTTTGAATGTCAATGCTAGCTTTAAAATTGAGCTTCTTACTGTATTCTCAAAAGAGGTCCTAATGCATGAAGACCAAATGACACACATTAAATAATATTTAATTGATTAAAGTCTAATAGAAAATTCAATACTTTTTAAAAGTGAGGCACTTTAAAAAAGTAAGGCCCTTTTAGTAGAGACGCCCAACCCCGTCTCTACTAAAAATACAAAAATTAGCTGGGTGTGGTGGTGTACGCTTGTAGTCCCAGCTTCTTAGGAGGCTGAGGTAGGAGAATCACTTGAACCTGGGAGGCAGAGGTTGCAGTGAGCAGAGATCACACCACTCCAGCCTGGCAACAGAGCAAGACTCCATCTCAATAAAAGAAGAAAAAGAAAAGTGCCTCATGATAACCCTCAAACATGTTGGCCTATTAAAAATGTAAACAACAAGCAGGACATGGTGGCTCATGCCTATAATCCCAGCACTTTGGGAGGCCCAGGTGGACAGATCCCTTGAGGCCAGGAGTTCAAGACCAGCCTGTCTAATATAGTGAAGCTCCATCTCTACTAAAAATACAAAAATTAGCTGGGTGTGGTGGCATGCACCTATAGTCCCAGCTACTCGGGAGGCTGAGGCACAAGAATCACTTGAATCTGGGAGTCAGAGGTTGCAGTGAGTTGAGATCATGCCACTGCACTTCAGCCTGGGTGACAGTGAGACTCTGTCTCAAAAAANAAAAAAAAAAAAAAAAAAAAAAAAACACACACACACACATATAAACAATAGTATTGCAACTAGAAAAGATTATTCATAATTATTTACATATGTAGTGATTGGTCTATGGACCAAAAGTACTTGATAAATACAGGAAGTCATGATAAATGAAAAGGAACTTCATTGTTATCATTAGTTAGGTTTATAGTTCTAAATTCCATGTGTTAATTCCCAGGTAATTCATGACGCTGAAACAGACAGAGTAATAATTGATATATTTAACTGTCCACCTCTGTATCATGACGTGAAAGTGCGGTTTTTCTCTTCGGTGAGTAATCAAGAAACAGCCTCTGCCATTGTTCTTGTCTGGTTGAATGATTTTATTTAAGATTTGCTTGACTACAATTCCCAACAAGGGAGATGATAGATGTCATCTCACAGAGGGAGGGGGAGAAAAACAGTAAATCAGCGCTATAACAAAATTTTTTAAAAGAACATATGTAATTTGAATAATTTTGTTCATTTGTTTTTTCTAAATTGTAAATTTTCTAAATTTTTCTAAATTCACATGTATTAATTCTCATACAAAAAATACAAAATAAACACACAAAAAATGTAAAAGCCAAGGTGCTAAAAAACCAAAGGTATGTTTTACTGCGTAGCAATGATTACATCTTGTTTTGCATTTTTTTTTTTTAATTAAAAAATTGAGGCCGGGCCTGGTGGCTCATGCTTATAATCTCAGCACTTTGGGAGGCTGAAGCGGGTGGATCTTGAGGCCAGGAGTTCAAGACCATCCTGACCAAAATGGTGAAATTCCATCTCTACTAAAAATACAAAAATTACCTAGGCATGATGGTGCATACCGGTAGTCCCAGCTATTCGGGAGGCTGAGGCAGGAGAATCACTTGAACCTGGGAGGCAGAGGTTGCAGTGAGCCAAAATCACACCACTGCACTCCAGCCTGGCAAGAGAGTGAGACTCTATCTAAAATTAAAAAATTGAGACAGGGTCACACTCTGTCACCCAGGCTGCAGTGCAGTGGTGTGATCATAGCTAACTGCCGCTTCAGCCTCCAGAGCTCAAGCAATCCTCCCACTTCGGCCTCCCAAGTAGCTGGGAGCATCTACTGGAAAAAGAGTTAGGTTTGGGTGACTCAGCTGGGTGAAACACAAAGAAGGCGGCACAATACAACACATGAAATGGCCAAAGCAGTCTGTTATTAATTCCAGAGAGAAGAGGGCAGCACACTTCGCAGGGCCAACTGTACGGGGGAGCCATCCAGGAGACCTGTGCTCGACTGATGGGTGGAGAGCAATAGCAAGAGAGAGGGAGGGACCTGAGAGTGGAAGCCTTTATTGGGATGTAAGGCACTACCTGAGAAGGTTTCCTGCAGGGAGGTCTAATTTGGTTTAATGCAAGCAGGCATGTGTTCCATGAAGTCATGCTATGACTGAGAGGTGGTCACTGATATATCCACACAGTCCATGCAGAGTATGGGGAACTGTGGGGTGAGTCAAGCATGTTATATCTAGCTGTCCCATAATGAAGTAGTCACCAGGAGAAGGTTGTATAAGGCAGATATTGGGATCAGTCACATTGAGAAACTGGGAGGAGGTAAACTGGAAACTGCTGAGGGTAACTGAACCCCACTTCTGATATCAGAAAGTCAAGTTTATATTTAAAAGGGATGCTGGGGTAACAGCAACAAAAATATTGTAAGAATTCACTACAATATACTTGGGTATACATAGGCATAGGTCCTTAGTAGATTCTGTTTAGCACTATCTAAACAGAATTTAAATCCGCATTTAAATTAAATATCTATCATGGAAAAAATACTATTCCTTGAAAATTTTGATAGAAACGGCAAGAGAAAGCAATGGCATTTTCATAAAACCTCCTCCTTTGTGTCTAGATTGTGTTGTCATAGACTGCAGAGTACTGCATATTTAATAGTTATAACTGTCTCATAAATATATAAAGGATTAAAGGAAAGAAATTTATTTCTTCGGAATGATTAGTTCTTGGTATCACTTTTACTTTGAAAATAATTTATTTTCTTTTTAGGTGCTTCCTAAATACTATGACAATTGTCCTTTTTTCTTCTGGTTTCACACATCTTTTATACAAGATAACAGGTATGGATATAATATAAACCCATAGAAACAGCCTGATCTTCAGTGTCTAAGGTGTAATGGCAATTCTTTTGCTGGTTGTCATAAACTTAATTTATAGGAAGCAAAAACTCCTCGAGCCACCTTACTCCTCTTACTTTGGTTATTTAAAAAATACATTTGTGGCTGGGCGCGGTGGCTTAAGCCTGTAATCCCAGCACTTTGGGAGGCCGAGGCGGGTGGATCACGAGGTCAAGAGATCGAGACCATCCCGGTTAACATGGTGAAACCCCGTCTCTACTAAAAATACAAAAACATTAGCTGGGCACGGTGGCACGTGCCTGTAATCCCAGCTACTGAGGAGGCTGAGGCAGGAGAATTTCCTGAACCCAGGAGGTGGAGGTTGCGGTGAGCCGAGATCGCGCCATTGCACTCCAGCCTGGGTAACAAGAGTGAAACTCCGTCTCAAAAAAAAAAAACAAAACATTTGTTCTTGAGACCCACTGTTGCAGCATCCTCAAGGTCCATGCCATAGGACTGTGTTATGAGTTCAAAAGTATTGTAATCAGTTCTTAAGTATGGCAGTAAATTCCTCCCAGAGAAGTTCGGTATGAGTCTGCTCGGTACCTTCATCATGTCAGGTCTTTAATAGGTGCTGATTTACCAATGACGAACCACCACCAAATTTTGTGCTAAAGTAAGGCAGGACCTAGGGAGGCTACGGCTAGCTGAAAAGCTGACTGATACACTTATATCTAGGAGAAGTTACAAGACACAGTAAGTATTAAGGAATACACCTAAAAATACTATTAAGTAATAGCCTCCCATTTAAATGTGGCTTTCTAATAACTGAATTGGGAAAACTTTCTGCATAATTATTAATTGGATTTAGAGATTATTGTTCCAAAAAACCTTCTGCCATATTTGGAAACTCATTTCTCAGTCTAGAAGTTCTCCACTATATGTAGCATTTGTTCTATGGTGGTGAAAATTTTGAGTTTTTTGGTATCAACCATACCCTCAATACAAAAGGATAAAATATTTTTTAAATGATTTAGGTCAGAGCTGTAGAAATGGCTACGATTAAATGGCATGAGTTGATAGTTATTATTATAGCCAGTCCCAATCTTTTCTTCAAATGTGAACTGGAGCTAATAACTCCTTAAGTCCAGCAAGGCAACGCTAAATTAAATCTCTGGTCTACACACTTGTAATGCATGCACATTTAATGGATTTTGATAGCATGAACTTTGGATTTGATGGAGAGTTTTTACAAATTTTTTTCTTGGATGCATACAAACAATAAGCTTTTTCTTATAACATGAGCAGAGTCCCTCAAATAGTGAGAGCTGGGTGGACTTTCATTTGACGCTATTTCTCAAAAGTGATTCTTGCTAAAGGATACAGTTTTTTTTTACTTTAAAACACCATGTTCATTTGGAGAAGCAGTAAGGTCACTTTTATCCTCACTTTTATGCAAATTTCTAAAGATTTCTGTAACATTTAAATGGTAAAGCTGTTTTTGTTAGTTATGAGATTGTTGTTTAGCCAAAAATGCCAACTTCTATCATTTAAAACACTAGGCACAAAGGGGTTAACCAATTTATTCCTAGTGCTCCATTATTGGAACACTAAGCATGTGGGAGTTAGATCCTACTGCTCCAGGTCATCTCCAAGGTCTGATTGCAAAAATTCAAAAAATTACAACCTCACACATGAATTAAAAGAGATACGGTATTTTATTACTGTGTTTTCATTCATGTCTAGCCTGACTGATTTTTGTCACATACAGAAATTTAGATATTTTATTAAACCTGGGTGTCACTAATTCCATTAAAAGCAATGTTAAAAGAATCAGCATGCGTTACTGATGTGTTGCTGAAGATTAAAGTATTTTTAAGTCTCACGAAAATGATGGAAGGAGACAACGGAGACACAAAAAAGGGGCTGAGGTTCTATTCACGGTGAGGTTCTTTTTTTGTTTCTTCAAGCTCTAACAAGGGCGCCCAACTGCATGGCTTTTCAGTTAGCCTCAATATCAAATGCAGGTTTTTTTTTTCTATTCTTAGGCTTTATCTACCAAGAAATGAGTTGGATAATCCACATAAACAAAAAACATGGAAAATTTACCCACCGGAATTTGCAGTGGAGATAATTTTTGAGGAGAAATGACTTACAGTTAAGTTGTAGCTGATTAAGAATAGTCCCCCCTTCCCCTTCTGGGAAAGAATTATGTTTCTTCCAACCCCCGCCACATATTTTTATGTTCTAAATCTTCCCTGCTGATATATCTATGTTTATATATGTTTACATATGTTCTTGATAAATCTATTAAATATATACAGATAAAACGTCAGTGTGTTTTTTTCTTTTTTGAAGGCATATACTTCAGTTTCCATCTTGTATTTACATAAATTTGGAACAGAGTACACAGAAACGTTAGGCATCATTTTGAAGAATTTTGAAATAGAACTTTCATATCAAAATAATTGAGATATTTAAAAATTGTGATTCCCCAACACCCACTTACTTAGATATTTTTGATCAAGTATTTATTCCCTGCTTTGTTTCACATTTGTAGTTTGAGATTTATTAGAAAGCTAATTTATATTTTTTTCTTCTACTTCATTTACAAACTGTCTGTTAACAGATTGGCGGCAGACTTTAAATCCAGGAGAGAGAAATGTTTCACACAGCAGTCCCCTAGCTCCCAACACACACTCTTCTCTCAATCCGAGTACTAAATGGGTAGCTTACTTCACAAATTTCTTTTAATTCCACACAGACACGGGGGTTGGGATAAGCAGATTGTGGTAAATATGAAGGATAGGTAATCTTCAGTAAGTTCTGCTTTTGTATAAAATTGTAAGTGAAATCAAAAGAAATATTTGTTCTTAGAGTAATCTAGGCGTACTGTTATTTTGAAATCCACCAGTCCTGCTCACAACCAACTTCACCTAACCTTGGGGGAACTCTGAAGGGAGGTAATCTTCTAATTATTAACACTAGTTAGCAACATGTCTACAGGAAATCATTATTATTTCCTCTTTGGTGCCAGGTGCTACTTTTTTTTTAACAAATTTTTTATTTTTATTTTTTATGTTTTGAGACAGGGTCTCACTCTGGTTGTCAAGACTGGAGTGCAGTGGTGTGATCTTGGCTCACTGCAACCTCAACCTCCCAGGCTCAGATGATTCTCCCACCTCAGCCTCCCAAGTAACTCGGACTATAGGCACATGCCACCACACCCAGCTAATTTTTTGTATTTTTAGTAGAGACGAGGTTTCGCCATGTTGCCCAGGCTGGTCTCAAATTCCTGAACTCAAGCAATCTGCCTGCCCCAGCCTCCCAAAGTGCTGGGATTACAGGCATGAGCCACCACGCCCAGCCTGTAGCTGTTATTCAAAGTAACTTCATTGCCACTGTATCCTCAGGCCATGACTGTCCTTGAAAAATTTCTATTTTGGCTTTATTGAAATTATTTGAATGATTTTCCTTTTATTAGCAAGGCTCTCAACAATCTAGACCAAGATGAATTCATCAGAAAATGAAAGGTAGCAACTAATAAGTCAAATGTCACTGCTAAAACATGATATGTCATTCCTGAAAAACCTTGCATTCTACAGAAAACACTAAAAAAAGAAGCAGTTCATGAAAATATAGGGCTTGGGAGGTCAAGGCAAACCACTCTGGCATAGCAGCTTTGTAACCAACACACTAACCACTTGGATCACCCATGTCAGCACCTCAGTGTTTGGAGTTCTCCATAGGACCTTTTTTATTTTTGAGTAGAAATGGAACAATATATAAGGGCTGTGGGTACCAGAGTGGCACAGATGAGAGTAGAGCCTTGAGCCATGGTGGGCATGGAAGGCAGCAACCTGCCAGGGGCTGAGAGCCCCATGAGGCTGGTGAGCAGCCTAGCTGCAGGTGATTTTTTTTCTCCTCTAAATATTCCAAAAAAGTTTCCAACTGCCCGTGCAGCAGCCCAACTAAAGCCTTTTTCCTTTACTCCCCCTAATCTGGCTCCCCCTTTGAGGAAAAGATCATAGAACATGCTTTCACATTCCCTTCATGTTAATATTATACCCTGCCGTTCATATTACAGAAACACGTGTAGGCACAACATAGGTTGTACTATTTCATTTAAAATTCACACAGCAATAATCTACAGAGGGTAGATGATGTCCTGGGTTAGGTGAATAGGGAGGAAAATACTTAGCTGGCTCAGTGAAGAGTAAGATCTGTCTTTTTCAATACTAGCAATACAGGAAGGAAGGAAACCCCCTTTTTTATTTTAAGAATTTCACTTTTTGAAATAAAGAGGTTACCATTAAGGTTTCTCTTCCCCAAACCTCCAAGACCCACCAAAATTTGGAAATTATGAGTTGTCACACTATTCTGCTTTTGCTTATTCAAAGAAAACCTGTTTAAGGCCTCTTTGGGCATTGCTTTCTTCAAATGCAGAATGAATTCTTTGAACATCCCAAGAGACTTATAATATATCAGAATTGTTAAGTGTGCTCTGAATGAAGAGACCCTCCAAGCAGGCTTTGTGTGAGCAACATGGCTGTTTATTCACCCAGGTGCGGGAGGGCTGAGTCTGAAGAGAGAGTCAGCGGAGGGTGAAGGGATAGGAGTTGGTTTTATAGGTTTGGGGTAGGCAGTGGAAAGTTAAAGAAGCTACAGCTCAGGGCAGTTTTTGCAAGCTGGGAGGGGGTCATAGGGTCTGAAGTCATGAGGTTGACCTGTCACTTGAGCAAGGTTGGTTACAAAGTCCAGTTGCCTTATCATTTGAGGTCTTATATTTAAATCTTTAATCTGTCTCCAGTTAATTTTTGTATGGGATGAAAGGTATGGGTCCAGAATCATTATTCTGCATATAGTTAGCCAGTTGCCCCCGCACCATGTATTGAACTATTGAATAAGGAGTCTTTCCCCCATTGCTTGTTTTTGTCAGCCTTGTCAGAGATCAGATGGTTGTAAGTGTAAGCCTTTATTCTGAGTTTTCTATTCTGTTCCATTGGCCTATGTGTCTGCTTTTGTTCTGTGCTGTTTTGGCTACCTTATAGTTTGAAGCCTCTGGCTTTGCCCTTTTTGCTTAGGTTTGCTTTGGCTATGCAGGCTCTTTTTTGGTTTCATATGAATTTTAGAATAGTTTTTCCTAATTCTGTGAAGAATGACGTTGGTAGTTTGATAGAAATAGCACTGAATCTGTAAATTGCTTTGGGCAGTATGGCCATTTGAACAATATTGATTCTTCCAAACCATGAGCATGGAATGTTTTTCCATTTAATTGTTACCTCTGATTTCTTTCAGCAGTGTTTTGTAGTTCTTGTAGAGATCTTTCACATCCTTTGTTAGCTGTATTCCTAGGTATTTCATTTTCTTTGTGGCCATTGTAAATGGAATTCTGTTCTTGATTTGACTGTCAGCCTGGACATCATTGGTGTATAGAAATGCTGTTGACTTTTGTACATTGATTTTTTTTATCCTGAAACTTTACTGAAGTTGTTTATCAGATCTAGTGGCCTTTTGGCAGAGTCTTTAGGGTTTTCTGGGTATAGAATCATATCACCAGCAAAGAGAGATAGTTTGACTTCTCTTCCTATTTGGATGCCTTTTCTTTCTTTCTTCTGCCTGAGGGCTCTGGGTAGGACTTCCAGTACTATGTTGAATAGGAGTGGTAAGACTGGACTGGGCATCATTGTCTCATTTCATTTCTCATGGGGACTGGTTCCAGGCTTTGCCAACTCAGTAGGCTGGGGCTATGGGTTTATCATAGATGGCTCTTATTATTTTGAGGTATGTTCCTTTGATTCCTAGTCTGTTGAGGTTTTTAATGTGAAGGGATGTCAGCTTTTATCAAAAGCTGTTTCTACATCTATTGAGATGATCATATGGTTTTTGCTTTTAGTTCTGTTTATGTGGTAAATCACATTTATTGATTTGCATATGTTGAACCAGCCTTGCATCTGTGGACTGAAGCCTTCTTGATTGTGGTGTATGAACTTATTGATGTGCTGCTGGATTCCATTTCCTAGTATTTTGTTAAGAATTTTTGTGTCTGTGTTCATGAAAGTAATTGGCCTGAGGTTTTCTTTTTGTGTTCATCTCTGCCAGATTTTGGTATTAGGCTGATGTTGGCTTCATGGAATGAGTTAGAAAGGAGCCCCTCAGCCTCAATTCTTCTTTATTTTATTTATTTTTTATTTTTTTTAAGATGGCGTTTCACTATGTTGGTCAGGCTGGTCTTGAACTCCTGACCTCAGGTGATCCACCCACCTTGGCCTCCAAAGTGCTTGGATTACAGGCGTGAGCCACCACGCCTGGCCCATCCTCAATTCTTTGGAATAGTTTCAGTAGAATTAGTACCAGTTGTTTGTACATCTGGTAGAATTCAGCTGTGGCTCCATCTGGTCCAGGGCTTTTCCTTGTTGGTAGATTTTTTTTATTAATTATTTGATTTCAGAGCTCGATATTTGTCTATTCAAGGTTTCGATCTCTTTCTGATTTAATCTGGAGAGATTATATGTTTCCAGGAATTTATCCATTTCCTCTAGATTATCTAATTTGTGTGCATAGAGTTGTTTACAGTATTCTCTGAGGATCTTTTGTATTTCTGTGGGATTGGTTGTAATGTCATCTTTGTCATTTCTAATTGTACGTATTTGGCTCTTCTACTTTTTTCTTTCTTTAGCTAGCAGTCTATCAATTTAAAAAAATAATGATTATTGGTTTCATTGATCTTTTGTGTCGATTTTTGCACCTAGACTCAAAAACAAGAACAAGAACAACAACAACAAAAACAGCATTTCAAAAAGCACTTCATTCAGTGCTTCTCTAATTTTAGTTATTCTCTTCTGCCAGCTTTGGGGTTGGTTTATTCTTTTTTTTTCTGTTTCCATAAGCGCAAAGTAGGAGTGTTAATTTGAGATATTGCTAACTTCTTGATGAAGGCATTTAGTGCTAGAAACTTTTAACACTGCTTTAGCTGCATCCTGGAGATTTTGATATGTTGTGTTCCTATTTTCATTAATTTCAAAGAATTTTTTATTTCTGCCTTTATTGTATTTTCTTTTTCTTTTTCTTTTCTTTTTTAGCTAGAAGACAAAATGTTTTATTTTAAAACATTGAAAAAACATTAAAAGACAAATGTCAATTATATAACCAGGAATGTTAAATATATGGAAACTGTAAATCTCTAAAACGTGGTAGGTACTTCCAAGGCTAAATGTTGCAAATTATCCTACTTTTTTTCTCTAATATCAACAGAACGGTACCCGATATGATGAAAAATAACAAAGAGACCTTACTAATTATCCAATCAAAGTCATCATCTTTGGGTAAATTTATATCAACACAAGTTAAAATTTTGTCCACGATGTTCCTAACACACGAAGCTTCCAGCTGAATTTCAGAAACGTTAACAAAAGTATCTTCCTTTTTTGCCTGTGAATGTTTGAGTATTGCTGTATTGTTGGCTTATCTAAACTACAGATAGTGGTTCTAGGCCTGCCCAAGGATCTTCAAGCATTGACGGCTTAATTGACGGAAAAAATAATTTTCCAACTCATTAGGCATTCTGTTTTCTCTAATACGCCGGGATCCAAATGGTGCGGATTTCATTGGAGAACCCTGGGGGTGGGTCTGCTGCTGCCCTGAGGAGTCTCCGAATTGCTGCTGGGACCCTGAGGGGGACCTGGAGTAGGAGCCAGGGTAGCCGCCAGGGTACGGAGACCCGAACCGGGCCCCCGGGAAGCTGCTGTCGTGTCACAGAGTGGCTGCTCCCGTAGGGGCCTAGACCGGGCCCTTCGGAGGCCTGTGGTGCGGACTCCCGTATCCATCTCGAGGAGAGGGCGGCCGTGGTCCGCCCCCACCCGGG